TCGGGAAAGTGGGTGTACCGCATCAAGACCAATGCGGACGGTTCCATCGAACGATTCAAGGCTCGATGGGTCGTACGAGGGTTCGATCAACGATACGAAACCGACTACACAGAAACATTCGCCCCAGTCTCCTGTCACACCTCCTTGCGCATCCTACTCACCGTCGCGGCCACGAAGAAACCATCACTGCGCCAAATCGACGTCGCAAATGCTTTCCTGTACGCACCTGTGGACGCTGAGATCTTTGTCGAGCAACCCCACGGATTCATCGACGACCCCACAAAAGTATGCCAGCTGATAAATCCCTTTACGGGATCAAGCAAGCCCCGCGGCTCTGGCAGCAGCATCTTCACGGTCGCCTCGTAAAAATCGGATTCCTACAGCTGCCGTATGACCAAGGCATGTACCGACTGCAGAAGGGAAGAGAGTATATCCTACTCATCGTTTACGTCGACGATCTGCTCTACATCGGTTCCACTACCGACATCGCCACCTGGTTCGAAGGGGAGCTGAAAGGGGACTTGACACTCACAGTGTCCGACACAGTGACCCAGTACCTGGGACTAAATGTCGTCGAAGACAACTCGGCGTTCTACCTACACGCTGGAAAATACGCAGGCACTGTCGCGAAGAAATTTGGTCTAACGCCGACTACGGTCCCGACTCCCTACCGCTACGGGAACAGCAGCAGCACCTCCGCAAAACTCCCCGCGAAGCAAATCCAGGAGTATCAGCAGAAGCTCGGCTGCCTACTATTCGCAGCAGTAACCAGCCGACCCGATCTATCTTATAGCGCGAGCCAGCTGGCGACGCATCTGAAGCAGCCGGAACAAGAAGATCTCGAGGAACTTAATCGGGCACTACTCTACTTCGTCTCCACGCCGACGACCGGGCTTACCTACAGTAAAGTAACGGCATCGTCCGTACAACTACTCGGATACGTCGACGCCGACCACGCGGGAGACAAGGGAAATCGACGATCGAGAACGGGCTACATCTACCGACTAGAACCTATCGAGACTATCTCCTGGCAGTCGAGCAAGCAGGAACTAATCGCACTATCTTCGGCTGAAGCAGAATACAGGGACAGAAAGTATTGCCCGGATAATTGCCTTAAAACATTTCTCGTACTGGTTTGGTGCCTTCTTTGTTTAGTTACGAATCAAATTTCGGGGTTGGATGTAAAGTAGTACTGTACTGTATGTGATGGATGCTGGTTTCAGTTTTATAGGGGTCGATTTTTTACCGAGGACAAGATTTCGTCTGCGTGGGTGCATCCGGACAGTTTAGGCCAAGCAGCGTAGTAGATCTATTTCCTAACCTCGCTATTTCTTCTTACTTGCCCTCGCGACTATCGAGTAGTCAGGAGATAGGCTAGGACCGCTGCGATGATTAGGCCGTCATGAAACCGTTAGATGAGGCGCTCTATGCATAGATCATTCCCTTGTTGCGGAGGGGGTAGAGCAATCGTTGAATCGCTAAACAGCTAGCCATAGGGAAGAGTTCGGCCCATCAAGGCGATTGTAGAGTCTAGCCGCGATGACGTGTGTCCTACAATGCCCTCAGCCGGTCGCCCTAGCTTAGTGACAGAGAGAGTTCGCCACGGCATAGTTCGGTCGAGTACCCTCGAGGCAGAAATCTCCGCTCACGTGGTGAAAATCGTTGAGAAGCAGCACGGCATCACGTTGCATCCTAAGACATTGCGTAACGCTTTGAATGGGAGCCGACTTGTCGCAATCAAGCATCCCAAGAAACCGCGACACTCTCGGAAAAACATACGCGATAGGCTGGAATGGGCGCGTGCCCACGCAGACTGGACGGTTGACGACTAAAAGCGATTTATCTGTGCGGATGAGACCAAGATCGGTCGTCTTGCATCCGACTGACTCTCATACGCCTGCGTTCACGAAGGGACTGCCCTCCAAAGACACCAAATCAAGCAGACCGTCAAACACGGGGGCGGTTGCTTGATAATTTACGACTGCATGTCATAAAAGGGAGCGGGTTTCATGAGCAAAACATATGGTAGGGTGGACGGACTGCTCTCGCTGAGTATACTGCAGGACGATCTCAACAGTACGATTGAGCTTTACCAGCTTACACCCTCAAAAACTATCTTCCAGCACGACAACGACCCGAAGCACAAGTCGCGTATCGTACAGGAGTGGCTTTGAGAGTAAGATTCAGGGGTGCTAGAGTGGCCGTCTTCCTCACCCGACCTCAACCCAATGAAGCATTTATGGGCTCATCTCAAGAGGCAGCTGGCCAAGCCTTATAAGCCTCCCACTGGTATGCTGGACCTTTGGGAGCGGGTGCAGGAGAAATGGGAAAAAATCCCGGCGGATGTGTGCACCCACCTGGTGGAAAGCATGCCCAGGAGGGTGAGGGCGGTGTCTAAGGCGAAAGGGCGGTGAATTAGGTACTAGTTTGGGGTTGATGTAACTTGCTGCATGCGCCTGGCAATAATTGTCCACATGTACCAAGATTGTTATTTTCTAGTATTTGTTGTAAACATCATTATACTTGTGTGATGTAAGGCATGGGCGTGGAGCCTTACCCCAACCTACATACACTAGGCACACCAGAAGATTAAGTCTTAATGTCCATGACCCCCTAAAATGGCAAAATTCCTCTAAGTCACAAACATGTGGACAATACTTTCCGTCGCTGTATATCGCTCTCTGTACTGCGACCAAGGAAGGACTCTACCTACGAGAGTTGCTCGAGGAAGTGAAGATTGCGACCCTGCACGTCTTCTCACTCCTCTGCGACAACCAATCCGCGATCAAAATCGCGAACAAGGACGGCTTCGCCAACCGAACCAAGCACATCGCCCTGCGGTCAGGGTTCCTGTTAGCAGACGAAATCCGTCTGTTCATCTGAGAATCAGACTCACTTTTCCCGTGTCATCTGATTTTTTGACAGCCAGTCATTTTTCATCTGAACGACCATCTTAGTTATATAAATCCGTCTGAATTCTCAGACTTGGTGTAGGCGGTCGTCTGCATTTTCAGATAGCGCATAAATTTCCGTCTGAGCGTATTCCTACGTTGGTACTTAGCCTCTGATCTGACTCACAATCTGAGCTGAGGCGAGTGGGTGCAAAAATATCTTAGTAGATAAGTCTGGCCACAAGCGCTGGAAGCCACTCCTGTGTAGCCAATCGAAATTGTTGCGAACGGGGTTCTACCGAAACATCTGATGCGACAGATGTGTGCTGCGCAACTATTGGTGCTGCGAAAATCAACTCCGACAGCAACAGACGTGCCGAGCGAGTGCAACAGCAAGCTAGCTGACCTGTTCCGTACAGCGCACCAAGGCCTCGCGTGAATTCGATCGTGGGGCAGGCACGCAATCTTCGTGAATATGCACCGGTCACAATCAGGGCTTATATTTGGTTTTTGAACAGCTCTGACGCTCAGAGCTCCTTTCAAATTTCACACTGAAAACCCAGGGTCCGAAGCTATACTGCTCTGTTTTTTTAGGGCCAGCTGAAAAAATGCCCGGCGAGCGCATATTTGCACGAATTTTACTTGAGGTTGTTCAAGCTCTGCGTAACATTGGATTCGCGTTATTTCTAGGGGTATGACGGGAGTACCCCTTCCCAACAAGTTGCCTGGTATGCTGGTCCAAGAAGAGTGATGGGTGTTTGGAGTGTGCGAGATAAGGGGTGAGGGGAGGGAGGGGCGCCGGGGGAGGGAGGGTGCAAGTATTGGAAAAATCAGGGTTACCTGAAAATCTTCTCGGAGTTTCCAGGGTCGCCTGAAGATCTTCCCGGATTTTGTCAGGGTTGGATAAAAAAAAACCCGGAGAAAATCAGGGCTGGTCTGAAAAATACCTTTGAATTTCAGTCAAGTCAGTGCAAATGCCCTGATAACATAAGCCCTGGTCACAATGTTCAAGTTGCTTAGGGTTCATTCTACGACTGGCTGGTCGCAAGCAGCGACCGCCACAGTTCGCGACGAGCGAAAGTTGGATGGATCTCCCCGTTGTAATACAACAGGATCTACTCAGGCTCTGTCTAAGTTCGATCCTACTTTGGTGTAGATCCTACCTCGTAAGAATACGCCCTAACCCTAAGCTAAGAGGGCCCTAGGAACATGCTGATACCGACGAAGCACCCACTATATCCCCATGGGCCACTCGGCCACCTGTGAGACGCGAGAAAAAAATTGCCGCATGGCGCGTCATCACCCCAGTTCTGTACTGTAGATTATTGTGAAGTATTTCTTTTTCATCTAGAAGATCAGATGATGCTGGACTATTCGTCTGAAAATCCAGACCAGCCGAGGTAGCTCGTCTGACGGTCAGACGAAATTTTGAAACCCTATCTGATTCTCAGACAATCCTAAAACTTAGCAGGAACCCTGCCTGCGGTACTTCTTCGTCAAGGATGAAATTGCGAAGGGGAGACTTCAACTCAGTTACTGCCCTACGACAGAAATGGCCGCAGACTATCTGACGAAGAAATTGGCGAAGGAAAAAATCGATTACTGCACGCTGCTGACCGGGCAGACAAACGTCACCGGATCTGAACACGTCAGCACTCCAGAAACGAAGGGGAGTGTTGGAAATACCTCAAAGGACTTAAGCGTTTCTGAAGTGTAACACTACACTCGAGGAAGATCGCAACGGGTACGCGAGTCAACGGAGGTTACACGAGGGGGTGGACAAAGAACACAAAGGGACTCGAAAGGTCGCAACTGGAGGTTGCGACTGACCGTTACAACTGCACGAATGGTAACCGAAGCGACAATCGAGTCGCTGTGCGACTCGATAACCGCTCCTGCAACTGTATTCTACAACTGCTTTACTTTCCTATTTTCTATATATTACTGTATGCTTGTTTCTTTAATCAATCACTTGTTCTCATATACTAGTACAAGGGTTCAACTACTCAACTTCCGCTGCACTACTCAAGTCTCATTCTTCAACTGGGACTTAGTCTCTGGAAAGATCCTAAGGGCTTTTATCAGCCCAACAGCAGGGAAAATGTTGTTTCAGTCTACATACGCGATGCGACACTGATGCATCAGTGTCGGCGTCAAAATACACGCTGAAATTTCAGGCCCCGTACAAACATTTACACTGAAAATCAGAGTCACCCCCCCCCCCCCCTCCGAGGCTGGAAATTCAGGGTCAGCACAGCTGAACACCCTGAAAATCAGGAAAAAATCCTGAAATCTGAGGGCCTTTGACAGCTGATTGATATGTTACACCTTGACAATAAAAAAAATACCGTAAAAGCACCAAGTAACAGTCAGCAGCAGAATGCAAGCAGCAGAATTTTAACATCCCAAACCAATTAGTCCCCAACAGAAACCCAGGAGATGCCTCTCTTCCTCCCGTCCTCCTCGGTTGGGTCTTGCCCCTGAAGCATACCCACCAAGGCCAGACAGTTCTGATCTCAGTGCGCCACAATCACGGTTTGGGGTAATCACCCCCAAAATAAGTACAGTTCCACCAGTACTTATAGCTGCTGTATGTGCACTTTCTGGGGCTCTGAGACCAGCAGGTGCTCTGCGCCTGGCACGTGTTCACACTGCCACACGGTAACCGCGCGCAGCAGAAGCAGTTGTTGTAACACAGGTTGTAGTTGGTCGTCTGCGTGGCCGCCGTCCCTCCGAGAGTGAGCTTCGTTGCAGTGCACACGTTCTCGCACGTCGTGGTAACGAATGCGCAGCACTTGCCAACCTCCTCCCCTACCATAAGAGAACAATCGCTGTCCAGCGGTTTCCAGGTCGGGTACGGGCAAACCGTCCAGGAGCATCCGTACCCGGGGAGCGGCGCGACCCCGGCACGGTTCGTGCATGCGGCGTTGCACCCTGAACACGCCCCGTCTTCAACCACCGGCATGGCGTAGTTGCAGAGCGCATCGCAATACGACGGGTACGTCACAAAATCAGCGCCGCACACCGGGAGCGACTCGGCGCATCCACAATCAAGAATCCCGACGCGGGAATCACAGGGGATGATCAGCGTGGTGTTGACAATGAGCGGCGAAGTCTCAAGGATGTTGTTGTGGGCGGCGATGCTGACGGGGGAGACGGAGACGGTGGTGCAGCGGGTGACGAACTTGGAGGAGATGAGAGCGAGGGTGTCGCCCTCTTGGATGGTGTAGATCGAGAAGCTGGTGTTGCTGGCGGTCCTGAGTGTGGCGAGCACGGGGGAGTTGATGCACACCTTCTGGCCCACCTGCAGGTACGGCGCCTGGCACTGGAGATCGAGGGAGGGGATAGGGGGGGAAGAGGAGGGAAGAGCCGAAGAGGTGAGCGAAGTGGGATGAAGAGCCGGGGAGAGAATTGAAGCACACCTTGTGGCCCACCTGCAGGTAGGCGTAGGGCGCCTGGCACTGCAAGGAGGAAGGGCAGGAGGGAGAGAGAAACGGCAGAACAGGTTGTAGGGGATGCTTTTGGGAGGCGAAGGAGCCTTGAAACGAAATTGCGAGGCTTGAAAACGAAATGGCTCAAGGCTGGAATGGGAGAGCGATTGAAAGGTAAGGCAAGACAAGGGCTGTCTCTGGTCAAGGGGGTGGTATGGCATGGCTTACCCGGATGCCGGGGTTGATGGCAAGGAAGAGCGGTTCGGTGAGGTTGGCTGCGTTCCAGATGTTGGGGCAGTTGTCTCCCTGGAGCACCGTGTACTGCTGTGTGCACTCAACTGACGTCTGTTGCATTAGGGAACAGTGGGACGGATGGAGGTACGAGGAAAATGCGGCAAATGGGAAATGAAAGAGAATAACAGCAATAATTTGCAAAAAATCATTTAAGAGGTTGAGGACATTGAAGGAGAATCAAGCACACAAATAACAGCAGCCTTAATGTCAATGAGACGCAGAGACATGGAAAGTTGGTCTAACAGAGAGGTCTTGAGCGGTACACAGAGGTATGGTGGAATGGGTGAGGGGTTGAGATGGTAAGGGGGGTTGATTGTTGAAGGGGTGGAACAGCAGCCTACCAGAGAGGTCTTGGGCGCAACGCAGAGGTAGAGACCGATTTTGAGGGCAGTGTCGCAGGAAAGGGCTGGATTGAGGCTGTTGGGGACGGAGAAGGGGGGGGGGGGGGGGGGTTTGAGGAGAGGGGGATGGGCAGGAGGAGGGGATTGGGATTAGTAAATAGTGTTCTGGGATAAGCAGCTGGAAGAAGACGACACGACCACAGACTGTGTCACAACGGGTAGCTTACATGCGATGGAGCACATCAAAGCTATGTAATGGATAGAGGGGTGCGAACAAAAGTTTACCTCATAAATGTGCTGGTTGCGAGGTTGTATTTGGTGGCGATCACATCGCAAGTGTCGCCAGCCACTGACGTGTACGTCTGGCCGCACTGGGGCACGGTGATCTGATGTGGGGGATTAAGGTTTGTGGAGGAAGGGCGAACAAATCATATGTCTGGTTGGGGATGCATGCACCGACACTGACGCACCCGCCTGGAGTGGGGTACAGTGAGCTGAACGTGGAGGAAAGATGCAAATCAAAAACAGGAATGATCAGGCTATTGGGCAGAAGATGAACCAGCAGGAACGATACACACTCGAAAAACATATTTTCCTCACTATGGGGGAACCACATGCACAACCTAGGTTTCCCCACTGAGCGCGCCCAAGCCAGGCTGGGAAACCAGGAGTCCCCAGACATAGGCGTGAAATTCGTGCCAGGAACCCAAGTCGTTGACACGAAGCTGCGGACGCATCCTCACCGTACAAGCTCCAACTTCCTAACCCGGGGGCAATTCTGAACGTTAATTACCACGGGGCTGGGCGACGTGGTGCTGATGCAGATCTGCTGCGACGGCAGCAGGGACGCCCTCTCGGTTGTGCAAATGAGGGGGTTAGCCGCCCGGAGAGCGATCAGGTCGCCGTTGAAATACGAGTTGGCGAGCGACGGACACGTGTCGCCAAGCTGCACTGTGTACGTGGCGGTGCAGACAAAGGCTGGGCTGTTGGCTGTAGTATTCGAAACAAGCAGCACCATGCCTGTTTGGAGTATGCACAGGGGGGTGTGAGGGGCAGGGTGAAAATTTCTGTTGAGAACCTTGAAAGGCGAAATTTTCCGAGCACGTGCCGCGCAGCTGCACTGGGCATGACGCCGTGCAGACGAAAGCTGCGCTGCTTGGCGGTGGAATTCGAGGCGAGCAGCACCATGCCTGTTGGGGTGGGGAAGGCGAGATGCATTATGGGGGTGAGGGGAGAGATGGGTTGGTAGGGGTTGAGAGCGTTGAGCGTGAGGGCGGGTATGCAAGCGTTGCAAGGTGCACGAGTGATTGGGAGCTGGCGTTTAGGCGAGCCACACATGCCAGGTGCGATGTATGCAAAAGCTCGACTGGTAAGCCACACATACCAGACGAGGAACGGGTTGAGCGCCGCGAGAGTGACGAGGGGGAGCTTGAGCGTGCTTGCGACAACGGTGCACGGGTAACAAGGCCGGCAGGCGGCCATATACCTACCAGGAGTGCCGGGCGGGCGTACCAGGAGCGATGTATGCAAGCGAGCAATCCAGAAACGGGTTGAGCGCCGCGAGAGTGACGGCGGGGAGCTTGAACGTGTTGGCCACAACGGTGCACGAATCGCCAGGCGCGGTGGTGTACGTCTGCCCCACCGCTGCCGTCGTGCCCACCCCGACACACGTGATGGTGCCGTCTGATGCCGTTCCGATGGCGTAGCCCTGTTGGGGTTAGAGCGAGAAAATACACAGAATGGGAGAAAATATACAGAACGAGAGAAAACATACAGAATGAGAGAAAATATACGGAATGAGAGAAAATATACGGAATGAGAGAAAATATACGGAATGAGAGAAAATATACGGAATGAGAGAAAATATACGGAATGAGAGAAAATATACGGAATGAGAGAAAATATACGGAATGAGAGAAAATATACGGAATGAGAGAAAATATACGGAATGAGAGAAAATATACGGAATGAGAGAAAATATACGGAATGAGAGAAAATATACGGAATGAGAGAAAATATACAGAATGAGAGAAAATCTACAGAATGAGAGAAAATCTACAGAATGAGAGAAAATCTACAGAATGAGAGAAAATCTACAGAATGAGAGAAAACATACAGAATGAGAGAACATATACGGAATGAGAGAAAATATACAGAATGAGAGAAAATATACAGAATTAGATAAAATCTACAGAAAGAGAGAAAACATACACAATGAGAGAAAACATACAGAATGAGAGAAAATATACAGTTATGGCCACCGCCAGGCTTGGTGGTGTACGTCTGCCCCATCGCTGCCGTGGTACCCACTCCCACGCACGTATGGGCGGGGAAAGGCGTCGAGGGAATGGGCGGAGGTAGTAGGATGAAAGGTAGAGAGCGAGAGGAGGGGAGGAAGGGGGGGAGGCAAGAGAAGGGGGGGCGGCGGGAGAGGGAAATTGGAGAGAGTGAGAGACCGTTAATCTCATCACTTACCGCGGGGCACTCGCACGTGTACGTCCCGTCGCCCGGATTCCGGCACACGCCGCTCCCGCACGGATTAAAGACCTCGCGGCTCGTGCACGGGTAGCGCGGCACGCACTTGGCGGTGGGCGTCGAGAGCACCTCCACCATGTTCGGCAGGTACCGGCAGTCGCAGCGCGCGATTCCCCTTAGCGTGTAGCAGCGCCCGCCGCCGCACGGGTTGATTAGGTTCGCGCACGCGTCGACGGGGCCCGAGTAGGTTCGCGACCACCACTTGCCGTCGTAGCCGTCGTCCCGGCGACCGAAGGGGCCGTTGGCAATCTTGACAGGCTCGGGCCCCGCGTAGTAGACTGGGTACATGGCGGGGATGCTGAGAGGGCGGGGGGGAGGGGGGGCAGAGGGGGAGCGGAGCGGGGGGAGGGACGGGGAGGGGGAAGGAATGTTGAGAGGCGCAGCGCATCAAACCGCTTTCGCGACTTTGACGGGCTCGGGACCCGCGTGGTGCACGGGGTGCATGGCGAAGATGCTGGGGGGGAAGGGGACAGGGGAAGGGGAAGGGGACAGGGGAAGGGGAAGGGGACAGGGGAAGGGGAAGGGGACAGGGGGGAGGAAGGGGGAGGGATGTTTTTGAGGTGTGTGGAATCGCGCAGGTGTATCTGACGGGCTCGGGAATGCTGGGGGTGTGGGAAAGAGAGGGAGAGGGGAGTGGGGGGGGGGGAAGGGGGGGGGGAAGGGGAAGAGCAGAGGGGACCGAGTGGGAGGAGATGAAAACAAGAGAGGTGGAGGGGGATGAGGGGATGGCTTGCGCGGGAAGGGGCTTCCGCAGTGAGCGAGTGAGAATGTGGCGGGGTACTCGCGCGAATGGGAGTGGGGGAGAATGGAAGAGTGAGTGCAGCGAGTGAGCGAGTGACTTACGCGTGGAGCCCGCACTTCCCGCGCACGTCGGGCGTCATCGCGAGGTACATGTATCCCGCGTCGCCCCACGTGTTGAACCACGAGTTCTTCAATATCCAATAGCTGCCCTCGAGACTCGGCCCCGTGTAGTTAAAGCCCACCACAATCACCGCGTGATTGATATCCGTCGTGCACGTCCCGTCGTAGATCTTAACCTGGTCGCGCGACGAGTAGTACTGGAAGTCGTTAGAGTTGCCGGACAGAAACGCGACGACCGGCTGCATGCTGACGGCCTTCATCAGCGCCATGGCGTTGTACGGCGGAACCAGCTCCCACCCCGTGATCTTCGCCGCGAGCGGCGTCGACGCGTTCGAGTTACAGACCGCGCTGTCCTCCGCGACATACGGGTACTCGTCGATAGAAGCGATGCCGTCGTTAAAGAGGATGTAGGAGAAGGCCCAGTCGGGCCAGCCGCCCTTACAGCATTGCTTTGTCGCGCAGTCGCACACCTGCTGCGGCGACAGCACCAGCGGCGTCGTGTTGTTGATGATCGCCCACATCATCGCGATGGAATCGACGGCCACAATCGCCCAGCAGCTCCCGCACTGCGCGCCGAGCCATGGAGAGGGAGGGGGGGTGTGGGGGAGAGGGGGGGTTGGGGAGGAAAGGAGCGAGAGAAGAGTGAGAAGGAGCGGCGGGCGAGGGGGGGAAATGGAGGAGACGGATGGGGGAAGGATGAAAAAGAGGAGGGGAGTAAAGGGGCGGGTTGGGAGGGAGGAAGGTATATAGTCATTAGTACCACGAAAATAAGGGTGATGGTGACGTTAACTAGAGGAAAGAGAAACAATGTAGAATAAAACGACTCGGTTCGGTACAAATAGACGTACCTGGTATTGGCGCTGAATGGGCGAGATGTACATGGTCTGACGCCAGTCCACAAACGCGTTCGGCTTTACCGAGTCCCACCGGAAGAAGGTGTTATTCACATCCGCCATACTCGGTCCAGAGTTTAGAAACCGCGGCCGCAGACCGAGCTGCTTCCTCGTGACCGCCAACTCGCGACGGTGGCCCTCGCCGTTACCACTTTCTTCGCCGGCTTCGCCGTCGTCGCCAACGTCGCCTTCGTCGTCGTGAACGAGCAGCATTCGCTCGCTCAGCCGCGCGGCGTGCAGCCTGGCTTTCGCGTCGGGGCTCAGCGCGGCCGTCTCCGCCATGGCCTGCTCGAACCGCGTCGGTAGCGGCGATGCTGCCGCGAAATCCGCTTCCGGAAGTTCTGAAGCTGCTGCCGCGAGACCCGCTAGGCATGCTACGAGTAAGGCTATGTGGACTAAGGAGGGGGGGCCGCGCCGCCGTAATAGCTCCATAATGAGGCGACTTTGCGGCCGTCAGCAGGATGGGAAAGGTAAGAATTCGTCGAAAAAGATAGCTGGCTTAGGTCAGTGAGCGACGGGAGATTAATCAGTTTATGGGTTTTCCACCACGGCGAACAAAGTAGGCCTGGAACGGAAAGCGACCTTCTGATGTGCGTCCTCTGCTTGACTAGCGATTGCCGCTACGATGAGCGAATGAATGGCGCCGAAGAGCAATGAGTGCTCTCAAGGACGATCACACCGCCAACTCAGGTACGAACTATTTATCACATGCAATGCGCGTCTCCAACAGCTGAAGTTACCTCGCTTCGCGGCGTGGGTGGGACGCGTCGAAATCTACACGATAGGAGCCGTGCTTTGCCCTTATCAAGACTATGCTGCTGCTGTTTGGGAAACTATGGCAGGTTTGATTTGAAGGTTGGCTGGCTGGAGTGGAGTGCTGTTGGTAGTTTGTTGGCTGGTTGGTGGGATGGTTGGTTGGTTGCTCCCACGAATCGCCCCTCGTCTCACTTGTCAAAGCGGGCAGCTCAGAGGGAAATGGAATGTGTTGGGCCTCTCAGCAGGGCCTACACTGCTACGGTTTTTCTGGAGGTGGTGTGAATGTGAACTGTGACGCAAATCTTCACATGGGGTGTGAAACAGCAAAGCAAACATTGAAGGTGTTTGAGCTGTCTGCTGCTCCCCCCCCTTCACCGTGTTGGTTGGCTGGCACTCCTTCCCAGTCTGCAACATGAGCAGGGGAAAACCCAGAGAAGGTAATTTCACACCCTGAAAATGGGCGGCAGGAGAATTTTTGTTTATATCCTGACCATTTCTGAGTGCGTCGACAGTACTCCCTTGTTCCTACGGCCTAAGCGCGGCAGACTCCACGCGGGCAAAAACTTTTAGCACTGCCTAAGCTGATGTCGGTTTTCCTGACTCGAGAAACACTAAATTGAGCAGTAAACGTTTCGTATAGAAACCCAAGCGATTTTTGTTTTTTTTTCAAAGGTATCCGGATCTGGGGATGAATACCCTTTTGCTAGAGCTCTTTTGCTGCTGCCGTACTGTTCAGGATAACATGTCCGCTGCGCAGGTGGCAACGAGCACACAGTGCCAAATGGCCGTGGGATGACTGACTGGCAGTCCAACACATGCTGTCGTGGCGAACACATTTGTCTCCTCGGCTGCACCTGAAATGTATGAGCCAACCTCTCAGTTACCCTTGGTCTTGACACTCAACAACGAAGCCCAAGCTTTGAAGGCAAACTACGGTTATGGCGTGATCAGGATCGACAATAGCGACCACAACAGTGCACGACTCAGAGACTGAAAAGTGCTAAACAAGGGCGTTCAAGTCCAGGACCGGAACACATGATGAACTATTGGTACGATTGTTCGATCAGTATTTTTTTCAAGTAACGGCATTCACGGGGGAGAGAATGCTTTGCATGTTGCTTGTGTGACTATTGTCCGCCACGCTCGAAGTTCGCCAGCAGTAACGGCAGTTCTGAATATCAGTTCGTCTTGGGCTGTTCTCATGGGCAGGAAGAAAACGCTATTGTGAACATCAAAAGCTCACTGAACTATAGTTGTACCTGAATCCACAGCCTCTACTCTACAATATTGCCTTTTATTTCCCAGCCTAACAATTCAACCAAGCGAATACAGTCCGTAACATGGTTTGCTGTTGTGTACACATGATGTCCACGGTGCTCTCTGCCCGTAGCCAATCGCAATCGGTTTAGCCTGCCCATGTGCCCCTTTTTATGGGCAGTATTCGTTTCGTCTGAGTCCCGAAATTCGCCACGTGGAACGATTTATTGAGCGCGGAACGAGGCGACCATACAGATGCATGTGCTTATTGATAAATTTTCTGACTTTTGTAATATCTTGATACAAAATGCCCATTTGCGACCCATTTGCTCTTGGCGAAGCATGCGAAGCGAACTGACGAATTCGACAGTGGCCCCCACGACTCGGCAAAGTGGTGAGCGTATGGTGGACATCATTTGTACATGATATGGGCTCAACAACCGCGTTGTTATGATAATCTCCACATAGGAGGCTAGTACAGGTCATATGCCTTGTAGACGACCCCCCTTTACACCCAGGAGTATTCTATATGCATTTTATCCTTAAGGCTCACTCCTTGTACGCAAAGTGTACCCGTCTCAACTGAACAGTGGATTAGACAGTCAATCCGGCTGATGCAAGGCCGTCCAAACTGTTAGCTCTTGTTTTTTCAGAGCGACCACACCTAGTGGTCGGCGAGCCTCTAACAATCCAGATGTGTCAGGCTCGCCAACCAATATCGAGGCAAAAATCCACATGATGCGCTAGATACGACCAGCTCGTTGACGGTCCACTAGAATTACGCCAGCAACGCCAACGGAATCTGTCGGCGTTGCCCCAGGAAAATCCGTCCACCCACAGCCAATACGAACGCGCCAAGGAAGCAACAGAGGGGTCCCAACATCGTTCCCCCCGCCAGTAGTGCAGGCACCCCGGGGTTATTTATATGCCCCAAACAGCGACCTCTTCACGATACAAGGAACGAGCCCGCCACACCCACGAGGTCGTTCACATGGCACCTGTACGCCGAATTGCGTTCGCCGTCGGGCAGAAGGTGGCAATCTACCAGTACGCCAAGAAGAATCCGACCGAGCGGCTCGAAGACATTTGGCGATGGTGCCACACCAGATACGGCCTGTGGCCGGATCGCAGCACAGCCAGATGAGTTCTACAAACAAAACAGAAGTGGCGGGCCATCGGGCCCGAACGCGCCAAGTTCAAAAGGGTGCGTAACCCACATTGGCCTTTACTTGAAGCTCGACTCAAGAGCTGGCTGAAAAGCACAAATGGTGCTGGCTTGCTAGTCTCGATGGCTCTAATCCAGCAGCGTGCGATTCTGCTAGCACCCGAGTGCAACGTGCCTAGCGAGTTCAAAGCTTATGTTGGATGGGTTCATAAAGCATTGCGCTGAATGTGATTCAAGTGACGTAAGATGAGCGGCGATGCGAAGTCTGCCGACGAGGCCGCCGCTTATACCGCGCAACTACATTTCCCGAGGCTGTGCGACTAGCTTGGCGTGACCCCGGAGAACCAGTTCAATTTCGACGAGACCTGCGTCCACTATAGTCTCCTCTTCGACCACACATTCTGCATCGACCCTACCCCGGGCAAGAAGGTCTGCAAGGACTGGCTCACTGTCGCGCTGCTGGTGAATGCGGACGGCTCGAAGCTTTTCAAGCCGCTCATCATTCACAAGTTCGAGCGGCCCCGTTGCTTCGCAAAGCAGAAATTTGACCCTGCGAAGTACTGCTACTGGCGCGCGAACACCTCCGGATGGATGACGGCAGAGGTAAATGCTTCGCTTTCCATCGCTTGCATGCACCGTGCCGAAATCTGTCCGATGCAAAATGTGGCGTGTGACAAAAATAATAATCGGCTAAAAACGCGTCCATTCTATACGCCACGCGCAGGTTTCACGGCGTTCTTTGAGCACATTAACGCGTCCTGCATGTCGAAAGGACGTCGCATCGTCGTCATGCTCGACAACGCGTCGAGTCACCTGTTCCAATCCCCTCTCGCCACGTCAGCCGACATCTGCGGGTTTCGGACGCGCGCGCTCTCGCACGTGCGCCTCGTGTACTGGTCGCCGACCACGACCAGGGCCTCATCGCTGCTCTGAAGGCACGTTACAAGGTGAAGTTGCTTCAAGCAGTTCTCGCACAGTGGCAGATCCCTGGCGTCACCGTCGCCGCCATTCTGAAGTGGAAGCCCGAGATGTGGCAGGTGGTAACTTGGGTGTCGAATTCGTGCCTTGGCTTGGATACTGTGACCATCCAGAAGTGCTTTTGGATGACGCGAATGCTGCCCGCCAGCTGGCAGCTGCTGCTATCTCTCCTCGGTGCCACTTTTGAAGAGCAGGAGCCCCGGCTAGAGCATGAGATCGAGCCGGTGCAGCAGATCATGAGCGCCCTGCCATTCGGCCCGGGCGATATGATTTCCGCCGCTCGCTTCGTCACCGCCGAGCGTGACGACGAGACGAGCGAGCAGAGCGGGGTGGATCCGCTTGAGGTAGAGCCGCTTGGCCCGGCCCAGCGGGATGCGTGGTGGGCGAACGCGCCTCCCGCCCGCCCCCCCCCCCCCCCGGCTCCGAACGACTCAGCGCGGAACCGGCACAATCTGTCGCAAATGGCGACAGAGATGGTAATCGGCTACGCCAAGTCCATTGGCTTGGCTCCGCGCGATCTCCGAGTGCTGTTCGACATCTGCGAACCTAGACCGCGCATCCCCCCGCCTGGGCACTAACAATGCGCCCGGCGCGGCGGAGGATGATTACCTCAGTCATGTCCGCGGAGCCACTGCGGTTATGACCGGATATCCAGACGCGGGCGAGTGGATAACCTTTGGCGCGCAGCCCGCTACCTATCGCGGGTACTAGGCGGTTAATTATGCAGTTCGGGTTTGGCGCGATGAACTTTCATGGCACTGCAGTTCGGAGTGGTGCAATTGTGCGCTGAGGGGCTTACAATATGCTGTCTTAGAGCGTGTATGTGGAGGCGCGAGAAGCCGTGTGCTCTGCCTATGACCTTAGCGGCGAGGGGGTTGTGCTGTGTTGCACGGAGTTGGGCAGTGTCGGTCAACGTTAGCATGGTTTTCGGTCGGAGTCTAATTTCGAGTCTAGTCTAGTGTCGAGTGTTGCCTTTGTTGAATCAATTCTGTTTATTGCTTTATTGCTGTCCATGTTTGTCACCTGCGGAATCAATTCTGACATTCTCTTGAAACGCGGAGTTGATACACAGGTGGAGAGGCTTGCGACGTGGCGATGTTTACTCAGTCGCTGCATACGCCAGTCAAGCCGCCCAGGCACAGTACACAAAAAACAACGCCCCATTACCTCGCAACAATGAGATACGACTAAGTCCCGCACACCAGAGACATTCCTCAACACACCACACGCAATCCCAAAAATTTGGTGAAATCCCTTACAGCGAAATACAGTCCCTTCACACCCCTCACAACCCGATTTTTTGTTTGTTTGTAAAAATCCCTCACAGCGGGACCATAAAACATTGGCCGAGGACCCTTCCATACCCTCCCCCCCGTAATCCTGGATTTTGGCGAAGTTCCACCGGAAAATATATTATGAGAGCAGTTTCGGAGAACAGACACAACAAGCAGGCATGGCACAAAACTACCCTGCTTCTGTACGATTGTTTCTGCTTTGTCGCTTGACCGATGGGGGGCGGGGATGAACCCTGAAATGGCGGGGCGAAAAGAGAGGGCGTGCACGTGACACGTCACGTTATTTGCGAGCCTTGGCATCTCACGTCCAGGCCTCTTGATATCCGGGTAATTACCCTGCTTAATCAAGGAAAACAGGGTGATTTTTGTGTACTACCCTGATTTCTTTGCATCCAGAT